GCTGAACACCCTGGGAAGACCGGAGCTGGTGCGGTCCTCTGATCCGAACTGTGACCCCAACAAGAACATTTCATGAATGTGCAATAGAGAAACCTCATCAACTTAGTCTGAGATGGAGTGCTTGTCGTGGGTCATACTTTCCATATGCTGTGACTATAAGATGCAAGTGCTCTAAGTGTGGCAGGTTTTCTGAACTTTTATTGTCCTTTTTTTTAAAAAAAAAGAAAAAGTGCTTTTTTAGGTTTTTATCCACAGAGTGTGCACCCACTACTGTATTTCCAGATTGCTGGGGAGCAATGAGAAATCCATTTAATATGTTCTTAGTATGTTCCCATCTCCTTTCATTATTATTTTTGAAAAGACCCTTATTTAAAGTTTCAAGCAATAAACAGCAGCAGTGAGAAAGCAAAACGAGAAGCACCACCTCTGCAGCTGCGGAGGTGGTGGGAGTGAATATTTGTTCTGCTTTTTCTCCAGCTTTCCTCCTACCCTCTCCTGTGTCATGTTTCAGGGAGCAAAGGGCTGGGGCCGCGGGAGAGAGCTCCTTTTCCAGGACACTGTTGCACAACCAGCAGAAAATTCCCTCTCCTGCTACAGCCTCTGAAGTGTCAGGTACTGACCCCAGGGTAACTGGACACCAACCCCGACCGGGTCCGTTCAGGTGTGGCATTTCCTGTACTTCTGCATTTGCCTTTGTACTGGCTGTGCTTTTAACTAAAGCAGGGGACTTAAACGAAGCTATATCGGACTACCCTGCTGAGCTATTATCCTCCCATCTGTTACTTAAGAACAGCCCTAGAATACTTGAATGTCTCCACAATCCTCATCTGAGTTACTTCCCCTCCGCTAACACTTTAACTGCTGGATTTTACACCAAAAAAAACCCTGACAATCTCGGCTCCAAGCCAACTCTTCCGCCATCCTTTCCCAAGTGTTCCCGATGTTTTGTGTGTGGTCAAGTGGTCTTGTTCAGTGTTACGTGGCTTGCTTAGTGTGTGTGGTCACCTCTAGCCAGCCTTTGTCTGCAAGAAATGGTTTCTCTCGCTCGCATTGGCTTCTATGTCTGCAGGGAGTTCAGAACGAGTGGCTCCCTTTGTCTGTTGACCTTTTTATTTTTTTTAAATATGTAATATGTATGGGAAATGGCAATAATTTCCAGGAGATCTCGTGAATGTGAAAGAAAACTTGCGATGGTTTTTATGGAGTGTAAAAGAAAAAAAAATAAAGAAAAAAATAAAAGAAAAAATAAAAGGAGAAAACCAAACTGGAAAAGAAAGCTGGGTTTTTTTGTACTTGGGAGTGAGCTGCAAAAGTGCTTTGGGAGAGCTTGGTGGCAGGAGAGGTCACCTGAGAAAAACACCATGGCCCAAAAGTGGTATAAGAGGAGGGTAAGCATCACTGGGCTCTGTGTTGAAAGCCTCCAAGGTGCATCTCTGTAGAGGGGAGAAGGTGAGGGGGAGGATTGTTTTAAACAGAATGACATGACTCATGGTGGCGTCACTTCCCAGCAGCCGGGTAGGCACTTCTGTTTTCACGCATGTTTTATGTAAGATTTGCCATCTTGCTGAAGATGAAAATCTGAACTAGGCACAGCCCCCACTTCCTTCCCGAGCACACACCATGGGATGCTGCATGCCCTGGTCCCCAGCATGATGCCTGTAGGTGGCCAGGCCACCTACAGGTGTCACACCGGGGACCAGGGCATGTGAATAAAGCTCATCTTTATCTGAAATGCCAGCATCTCTAAGCCATTGCATACCACTTTTCAGCTGAAAGTTTTTAGGTTCTTTCTGGCTCATCGCTGCAGCATATTTATAATCTGCATTTCCAAGTTATTGACAAAAAATTTATGGTAGATATCTGAGTTACAAAGCATCTATGCCCTGTGGGGTTCATCCATTTGTAACTTCTTACACTCAGGGAAGCAAATCTGACAGGTAAGAAGCTGTCATTGGAGATGAGCCTTGGATTTCTTCCCTGTGCCAGGGAATGTGGCAGCAGCCCTGCCTGGGCTCTGGGAAACCCAAATGTGGGAACCAGCAGCTGGGGAGGTGTGGCAGGTGATTTAATATGAGCAGATCAATTAATTTTCTGAAAGATCTGATTGCTCCCCTTGGGGATCTCTGGAAAGTGCTCTCTGCTTCTCAGTCCTCACAAGCACCCGAGCAGAAAGACTGCTAGGCTAAGTGAGAGTGGCTGCGTCCTAGGCAGAAACAGAGCAGCCAACAGCTCTCATTAAAACAGCATAAAACCCCTTCTGGGGGAATGACCAGCTCTGTTTCTCAAAGATGAGGAAGCTGAGACCCTCTGTAGAGCTGAAAATGTTTGCCATGGGAACCTGCAGAGCACAAGGCAGAGGGCTGAAGGGGTTAATGGAGGGACTGCTGGCCTTGGCAGATTTGACCACAGCAGCTGGAAAAGATCACAGGCCAGGCGGAGGAGCCAGGTATTTAGCAGAAAGGGAAGGCAGCTGCTCTGATTTTGGAGAGGGGCTCTGAACCTGGGATTTAGCACAGTGTGTTGGTGGATAGTGTTGGCAGAGGGAGATGCTGGGCTGGGTTTCAGCAAGGATGGAGGGCCAGAGCCCTGTGGGAGCCTGAATACAGGTTGTCATGCCTGAGCACAGGAGCCTGAGGTTTGTGCTACTGCCCAGGACATGGTTCCCCTCTGCTTGGCTGGTCCCAACCCATGTCTCCTCCCTGCAGGAGGAAGCTCCAGTATCCAGGGCAGAGTGAGATGTAAATGCTGCCTCCCCGAGGGAGGTGCTCTCATGCTCATTCTGGTCCCTCCTTGCTGTTTCAGTGCTAATGTAAGACCTCTGCCTCCAGCTCAGCTCCTCCCTTGGCTAGTTTGGCAGGTCCTACCTTTCTGAGGGGACATCGCAGCCATCTGACTGCGGGGCTCTGGGGTGAGAGTACATGCTCTCCTCCCTCCCTGGCCAAGATGTTCCCACAGGCAGGGAGGAGCTGAGGACCCAAGCACCAATGTGTGAAGATGAGTGTGACAAATCAGGATGGCACCTGCCTGGGAGATGGGACTTGTGAGTTTGAACCTCTATGAGCAGGGCAGGAACCCTAGTTCTCTGCTTCCAGACACCAGCAAACAATAGCTACTTCCATCCTTAGGGAAAGGAACAGTGTTTTGTGGCTTGCATGCTGAACAAATTCACCAGATTGGGTAGGACAGAAGATTTAGGAGGCTTTTATAGCCCAGATGGGTTTGGGTTTGGGTAGCTCACTCCTAGGGATGGAAGTTCAGATCAGGCAGGTGCGTGGGGAATGTCAGAGCTGAGGGATGGGGGCTGACAGTGTTGTGGGCAGAACTAGCTGGTTCAATGTGCCTGTGTCCATCTGCCAGCTAAGCCTGGCAGAGGAACAGGGATCTCAAAGTTCTGGTGGAAAGTAGAGACCTACGTAGCTGTAACAGCAAGGGGAAGGCTATAGTAGGATGCGTTCAGACATCAGAAAAGGCAAGTGAGGGAAAGATACCAGGGATGCTGTAGCCTTAGGCAAAGCTTTGATTAGAGTTTATCCCTTACGATACCCGAATCCAAAGAAGATGTGAAGAAATGTCACAGTGTCCTGGTTTGGCTGAAACAGAACTGTTTCTGCTTTCAGTAGATTTTATTTTTTTTCCTTCAGTTAAGTTTTCTTAGTAACTGCCCTGTCTGAAGCTGACTACAGGTTTCAGGCAGTGCCTGCTGTTAGAGTTGATGGCAGTTAATGTCTGTAGTTGCTGCTGGGGCAGGAGTGGGATTGTTATGCAGAAAGGTCCATGTCTGGGCTTGTTCCCTGCGGGCTCTCCTGGGGGGAAGGCAGAGGAGGGGTCGCACCCCCAGAAGCTGCAGAGGGGACCGGTGACCCAGGACTGACCAATGCAGTATTCTATCCCACCCACGGGAATACTCGGTACAAAGCTCGGGG